TCAAGCAAATAGCAGCTCTTTCACACATGCACAGGGACAGATGTGGGTGTATTCTGCATGTGGTACATGCACTAAAGAAACTTTAAAAGTGCTGGAAAAGTCTTTGTTATTTTGAAACATTCCATTTTCACCTAAGAGTATGGATTCTCTTTAAAAATACAAAACTTCCAAATAAGTTGGGTCATTTTGCTGCAGCCAAGGCTAAAAAAAAGAATCTTCTGTAGTCCTTTTTTTTAAAAGACTGCTGACTTTGTGAAGATGAAAATAAAACTCAGCAGCCTGGATCTTAGCTGGTAGCTTAGTGTCTAAATCTCCTGCTACAGATCTGTCTCAATACTCAACAAAATCAAGTGCTTTTGACATTAACAGCAGAACTCCCACTGCCTCCAAAGAACAAGCAGAGGAGAATTTCTCAGCTGAATACTTGGTTCCACCTTTTAATGATTTCAGTGTTTTTGGAATGGCTGATCCAGTGGCTTCAGATTTCCAAACGTCAGACACAGAAGAGAACTACCACCAGATTCCAGATGTCCCAACCTTACCACAAAACATGAAACACTTCCTTCAGCATAGTCATCTCGTGTCTTAAGTAACGGGCTGACAGCATACCTGCATCTCATGCGTCAGAGCATACCCAAGGGAGATGACAGGGCAGCAATGTGCAATTAGCAAATTCCTACCACTGAGTCTCCTTTTTTAGCAAGGGTCCTTCAGGATGACTCAGCTTCAGCCAGAGTAGTATGGTCTCTGGTATTATTAGGTCTTATGAAACTTCAAAGCATACTGATGAAAATCAGCTTAAGTAATATCATGTGAAAAGGGGATTAAAGGAAAGAGTACAACTGAAACTGAATCGGAATTCAGGTATCAGAGAACCCTTAATTTTTCAAAGGTACCTAAAGATGGGTCACTGTGATTCTTCATAACCTGTAATGTAGGATTTACACATCCCAATTTCTTTCAAGTTTATAAGAATTAGATTTACTCACTTGCATATTTTGTTCACTGAAGAACAGTACTGCCTCAATTTTATTTTTTTAGACTACTTACTGTAGCATTGACACATCTGTAAGTTTATCAATTGAAAATTTCTGAATTGTTTGCAGTATGTGGCGTGAACCTCCTTAGTCCCCAAATCATCCCCTGGACTTAATAAGCTGCAGTGACATCCTTTTGCTACGTAGGTCAGACCCACTTAGTCACAAATAAGGCTGATCAGTTATTTACACCTGGCACGAGACGCCTGAGAGAAGAAGAGAAGGCACAGCATTACTACATCATAGAAAGCTAACTGCAGAGGAGCAAAAGGGAACACTCTGGTGAAGGACACTTCTGGTCATCGTGTGAGATTTCATCTATTCAAAATTCCCCTGCAAAATTCTCAGTGCTAAACATCACCTTTATTTACATAAAGAGAAGTAAAGAAATTATGGTTGTAAAAAGTGATAAATCTTGATTTACAATTGCTCAGACTGTAACATAAATTGTATCATTAGCTAACTACAGAATACGTAAAAGTTTCATGAATTTTGTTTACTTATTTGTACTTATTCCACTCCAGATATCTTTATCATGGCAGTTTAATCAAAATCAAGTCACAGTAATGTCTGATGCTGCTGACAATTCACACTATGAGTAATCTTCCTGTGCTGCAATAGTAAAGATAAGAGTTTGGTAAGCTTTGCCAAACTGATTTGAAGTTAACTTAAAAACATTTGGTTTCTGCTTCCCTGTTCATAGTTCTTTGACGTGGATGTCTGGGTGGTGTGTTGAGCCTGATACGTGAGATGTGTAAAATACAGTTCCCAGGTTTTTATTACAGCATTACCTTTAACATGGCCAACAGTGAGTATTTCACACTTCACAGATACAGTAGCTAATGCGCCTCTCTAATCATAGCATATCATTTCTGTTCAGCCCAAGTCTTTTCCAGCTCTCACTCTCAACATTACAAGTCTTCTTGATGGGGATTTCCCTTCCAGAGGTAGAAGGGTCATAAGCTCAGGTTCTGCATTCAGTGAAGTGTAACTCCTCTTCACCTGGAGGTTTTTCTCCTGAAAAATCTCTGAGCTGTTAAAGTATAGGATAAGGAAGCTCATCTGTCAGTCAGCAAGCTTCAGTGCTGAGAGGGCACAGTGGAGAAAAAAGCTGATTTCATCAATCTAGCTAGTCTGAATAAAGCCTTTCTAGCTTTCTAGCAGAAGTATCTCTTCCTCTCTAAAAAAAAAAAAAAAACGGAACTGAGTATACTAGTTGCCATTTGAAAATAAGCCAGTATTAAATATACAATAAAGCAAGCTGGCTTCAGACAAGCCATAAATGTTGCTGCAGCATGGAGGCAGCAGTGCAGAGAATATTAGTAAAGGAATGCCAGCCCACTGCCTTTAAAGAGATGATGCTCCTCTCTCTTTCACACAGAAATTTCACCATTATCAGATTTTTAAATTGCACTATGAATTACTACCCTAACCAATGAAAAAATCCAAATTACATTCAGTCTTACATGGAAAATAATGCAATTGCTTATGTTTTGATACTAGTTTTGAAATAATTGGAAATACTTAAAAAGAATGTGGTTGTTTGCTCTTACTCTGAAATCAGCATAGGCTGAGACAGAAGTAAAAAGTGAAAGCAGGACCCTGGGAATATAAAAGACTTGTCTATATACAGAAGTTGCACTGCAGCAAATTTAATTCAATCCAGCTAGAGAAAGACTTCTTTCAGGGGTTCTCAGCGATTAGAACTGGCTCTTGTAAATTTTCACACTTGTGCTTGCAAGAATAAGTCAAAAAGATAATCCTACACAAACTTAACTACATCAGTGGAAAAAACTGTTTTTCATCTCACTGATATAACTTGAACACAGATCGGATCTAATATGGATTTTAAAAGTTCATAATTTCTTGCAACCAGGGAAGAATCCAAGGCTCTCTTATTTCATAAAGTTTGTACCATTTCATCTCCTCTAGTAAAGAGACCCACTTTATTTTTAAGGACAATTATGTGTCCTAAAAGATATTAAGCTGCTCTTTTGTGAAGTCACTGCACTATTTTGCCTTTTCATTAAACACCAAATAATAATCAGACAAAATGTAAGATTTTCTTTTTCTTCCTCCTGGACTTCCTATTCCACTCAAAGGGGTAAATATTTCTTCAAACCCTTTTTTATTCCAATTTTTAGTCAAAAGACAACTGTGCAACCTCAGAAACCTGCTATAATCACAATGAACAAGCATGACATCAAAAGCCATTACACCAACACATGACCAGTTTATCCTTTCCAAGTTTCTAGAGAACATAAAGATGCCTTGGGCCGTGAAGAGATCAACACATCAGTATTACAGAAACATTTGCTAAAGCCTGTAAGAAGAAAATGAATGACAATTGCTGAATTAGACCAGTCTCAAGCATCTATTCTAATGTCTGCACATAAACTTCTCTGATCAAGCTCAACTGTTACGTTCAGTTTCACTATAAAAACTTTAATCACTATATGGCTGTCTGAGCCAGAAAAGAATATTTGACTAATCACAGCACAAGAATCAATGGTAAACGAGCAGAAAGGTAAGCAAATCCAAGGATTTAAAATACAAATATGGAAGATTTGTAACATTACTGTTACATATCTACAGAGAGAAAGCCCTGGAGGAAAGAGGGGCCCAATAAAGCTAATCAGTATTTAAGGACCATCTCCTCCAAACCCAGAAGCAGTGTATCCTGAGAAAAAAGCAGGCAAGAATGCCAGGAAGCCTCCATGGATCAACAATGAGCTCCTGGACTTGGTTAAGCTCAAAAGAAATTCTATAGGAAGTGAAAACAGGAACCTGGGAGTACTGAAAAGAAGTTGTCTGAGCAGCCAGGGATCAGGTTAGGAAAGGTAAAATCCAGACAGAATTAAATCTATTCAGAACATCAGTGAGAAGAAGAAGAAATCCTACAGGTATATCAGCAATGTAAAGGTCAGGAAAGATGTGGGCACTCTCTGGAAGGAAACTGAAGACCTGGTCACAAGAGAAAGCTGAGATGCTCAATGACTTCTTTGCCTCAGTCTTCACCAGCAAGGACTCTAGCCACAATGCCCACATTGCAGAAAGTAATGGTGAGAACTTGGAGAAGGTAGATCTGCCTGCTGTAAGTGAAAAGCAGGTTCGAGATGTTCTAAAGAAACTGAAGGTGCACAAATTCATGGGACCCCACAAGATCCATTCATGGGTTATGAGGGAACCAGTGGATGAAGTTGCCAAGTTGCTATCCATCATATTTGAAAGGTCATGGCAGTCTGGTGAAGTTCCCACTGATTGGAAAAGGGGAAACATAACCCCAATTTTCAAAAAGGGAAAATAAGATTCAGGGAACTACAGGCCAAGCGTCTCTGTGCCTGGCAAGATCATGGAGCAGATCCTTCTGAAGGGTCTACTAGGCACACAGAAAATAAAGATGAGGTGATTGGCGGTAACCAACATGGCTTCGCCAAGTGCAAGCCTGACAAACATGGTGGCCTTTTATGATGAAGCTACAGCATCAGTGGATAAAGGAAGAGCAACTGACTTCATCTGTCTGGATTTGTGCAAAGCATTTGACACTTTCCTGCATGACATCCTGGTCACCAAATTAGAGAAAAATGGATTTGATGGAAGGACCACTCACTGGATAAGGAATTGGCTGGATGGTCGCTCTCACAGAGTCGCGGTCAACTCCAAGCCATCCATTCTATGATACTATGTTTTCCTTGGCACCACAATAACTAACAGCAGATTCAAAATTCAACAGTACAGTGAAGATTAAGGTTACATGCTGTCTTGAACTCATCTACCAATGTACTGTAGCTCAAAAAATTTACAGCCATACAGTGCAACACAGCACACATTCCGTTTTCCACATTCAGACCTGGTGTGGGATCTTTTCACAGATCTACCTACCTACAGTGGTTCTGAATTAGCAGGACACATTTTATAATTGGTTAGGCAGAACACAACCTCACATTTAATGGACATTCTTACCTCTGCAGCTAAGTAGTTTCCAGTTGCCAAGTGCTTAAATCTAAACAAACTATTCCACTGTCCTGCCCCTCCCCGGCAAGGATCATGATGGACAACCTGTAAGAAGAAGTACAGATTTTTAATTGTGCTTCTCAAAATCATACTTAGATCACTGACGTTTCTTACAATGCATTCCAAATAAAAGCATGTAAACTACACCATAGTTTAACACACAGATATGTTCTGTGTTCACACTAAGCCCACCATAGATAACCACTAGTTACACTTTTTTTTCCACCAGGTGACAGAAAATATGCCTCATATTACTTTCCAAGTGAGGAGCACTTTGTATTAAAAGCACAAAGTTAGATCTAAGGACTCTTGGACATGGGAGTTACATTATTATAATGGCAAGAGCATGAGGCATTCCAGTTTCCAATGTTCCTTAGTTAACGTTAATGTTCTTGCTAATCCCATTCAGCAAAGACAACCTTAATCAGCCTAACATTAAACAGATGTTGATGTGCCCTGCTACAGAAAAATACTCATTCACTTTTGTAAGCTTTGTTGTCTGTCATAATCAATTTCAATATTCTATATTGCACAAAAAATAAAATTTAAGCACTCCCAACTCACAAGTGTCACTCTATTGGCTTTGATAAAATTGTACCATTTGCATCAAGTCTGAATTTGACCTTTCATCATTTCAGTGCAAATACACTTAAAAAACATCCTCTCTTCATATGCTCACAGCAATAAAGCATCTCTTCACTGTTCATCCTACACAAACTGCTTCATAAAATAATCATAGTGATGAGGAGGTATATGATGATATCAAGGGGCTATGAATGATTCATACTGTAGTAAAGTATTTTTACTGCACCCTGGCCTTCAGGTACTAAAACATATATGAAAAGGGAAAAAATACCTCTATCTCCCACAGTGCCTTAGAACTTGTTGCAGAGGTGGCTGACTGACGCAGTGTAGTACGAAGAAAAATATGCTGTTTCTTCTCATATTCGTCACAGGTCAGAAACTTCTCTTGCTCTGCATGAAACAGCCTAACAACATCTCCCTAAAGTAAAATGAAAGCGAAACATTATTAAGTGGAAAGCAAAGTTGCTAGACTCAGTATCCGTTCTAGCTCCAGTAATGTCATCATAGTTGATGCGAAGAAAACGTTTATTAGTTGCCAGGTGCTGGAGCAGGTACTAAATTCAGAATACGTAAGCTCTGTAATGCATCTGGAAGTTGTGTATAAAATGCAATAATTCACTCCTGCATGACATCCATCTCCTTTTGTGAAAATAAAATTTCATCCAGAGCACTGCAATGAATAGTTAATCCAAAGGTGACTTTCTATGCGAGTCATTCCCCAACTCCAGTCTTTTCTTAGGCTATCCTGCTACAGCTCAGACTCTCACTTCTGAAGCTTCCTCTCTCTTGGTCCCATACATCCAGGTTCTCTCAAATCCACCCGACTCTACAGTCTCAACTTCTCAATAAATACAACAGAAACTTCTTGCTTTGCCTTGCCCCTCGCCTTGCCCCTCCTTTCCAAATGTATTTACAAGTATCCCTCAATCTCGTTTGCTACCTATAAAACTACTGTTATTTTGCTGTTCTCTGATATAACAGTCTTATCCCTTCTTCTCTTCAACCAAAACCAATGACCCTTCTGTATTTCTTCCAGTACATCATTTTTGCTTCCTTCTGTCTCTCCCCAAAGCTTGATATCTACCACAACACTTAAAAAAAAAAAATAGTCAGTTCATAATGACTGAGTAAGGTATAAGTGAGAACAAATGAAACATGCTTATTTATGAAAATTTTAAATTTACAAATATATTTATATTTATGAAAATACCAGTGACCTGGAGGCACACAAAGCTGAGCAAACCATCAGCTGTCTTACAACAGTTATTGTCATCTTCCATGCTTCACTCCCTTCTCTAGCTTGTTAGACCTCCTTTGGTACTTTGGCCTAAACTGAAACATCATAGCAATTTTGTATAAAGCACTCTCCAGTCTAGGCTTCATCTTTTCTCCAGGATCCTCTTTGTCTGTAGTAGCGGGAAGAGGCTGGAAACTAGTGCAATCAAGACAATTTCAGTTAGTAAGATAACAACACCGAAAAATTACAGTAGCTGGTGTAGGACAGCAGGGAGGGACCCCCGATGAGTCCATAAAGTCCTATTTTTTTTCTTTTTTTCCACCATTTAATATTTCTCTTAATATCCCTTTTCATTTAATATTATTGTCAAATAAGCCACGACTATTCAAACTGAAAATATAAATGTGTATATGTATACACATATCATACTTACTCCTTTCAGTACATCATCTCGGTAACTACTGAATTTCATGAACAAAGTTATCTTCCAGCTTGTGTTACAGTTGACAGCATTTACCTTGGGGGAAAAAAAAACATAATGGGAGTCTTAAAGGTTGTTTGTTTGTTTGTTTGTTTTCATGAAACATTCTATTCATCTATACACACCACATTTAGGGTAGCACATTAGTTCCAGGTATGTGAGTAACATGTGTCCTGATGTTATTTAGAGTTCAGAATGATGGTGATGTTGGATAAGACTCAGTGGGTATTCTGTCTGCTTACAGCCAACAAAAGACCTAAATATCTTATGAAAGAGGACTTACTCTTACATCAATGAGGGTTTCAGAAACTCATGCAAGGTTCATGAAGCTTTCAGTGTCAGGAAGAATTGTGCCAAGAATAAACACGTTTCATCTTGGTTTTCTGAGGCCAAGCTGGAACCAGTGTTTAATACTGGTATCTAGCTTATGGCGCTCTGGCAACCAGTAAATAACACAATATAATACATCTCAGACTGACAGTTACCACTCCTCTGTTGAGCTCACCTCTTTGCAGCCAGGGTTATCTAGAAGTTCAATGTTGCTAGCATGCAGTGGCTGCCCTGCATTGACTGGCATCAGTACAACTTTATCTCCAACAACAACCTGGAAGTCAGAAAGAAAATGTAATTTAGACTTATGTAATTACCCAATAAAATGAAGTGATGTTGTATTTTTCAAAAATGACTCAAATGCATGCTCTAGAAATAGCACTTGGTGAATTTACTTGCACACAGTTCACACACCAATAGAATATTTTTTTGGCCAGTTCTGTTCTCATGTGCCTCTGCAATTGCTCGGGTTCAGGACATGACACTAATAAGTCCTCGCATTCTCACTAAGCATGTTACACAGTTTAGCAGAAACTCAAGTCCATGAAATAAAAGACATGAACCTATGAATTTCAGGAGCAGATCAGAAAACCTACAACTTACATTAGGTACTCTTTATCCCATATTTACTGCCAGTCACAAGGCAGAGAAAGCTTAGAAAATAATCTGTAATCAGACAGCAGAATTGTTTTCCCTCTATTGCTGTAAGACAGCCTATTCCATCAATGTCTTTCATTTCAGAGAAGCCTTAAAAATTTGTATGTGACAAGACTTTTTAGCCCAGTGACTCCTCACTCTATATGCCATCTTCTGGCAAACAAGTTCACGAGTTCTTTGGTTCAGACTGTATGACTGCAACCTGGAAGGAACATAAACAACTGCAAATTGAGACAAGTGAACTCACTCCATCCCCTTTCCTGTTACTCCCTAAATGACATTTGATGCTCAGCACAGCCACCGGGTACATCAGCTAAGCGACAAATTCCTAGCTGACTCCTTGCAAGCAAAGTCCCATGCCCTTGGAATTCTTTAATTACATAGACAGGGAGCAACAATATACGAAATTGGCTCTGACCTAAGAAGTGCTTGAAACATGCATATGGAAAGTTCAGTTCATACCTGAGAAGGGCAAAAAATCAATACACAGAGATTGATTAGCATTGGTGTTCTGGTTTGTTCATGTTGTTCCCAGCAATTTTAAGCACACACACACAAAGACAAGAAGTGGCTAAAGGTGATTTTGATATATGAAAAGCTGTAAAAGCCATGCTTTTTAGGAATACAAACAAAAATATGTTCTGCATTGATCAGCACATTTCCTACAAGAAGCCTGATTCAGCCCTGTATAACTTCAGTGCAGATTAATTTGGCCCACTTACTGCAGGGGTGAAAAAGAAGGTTGCTTGTTTTTTTTTTATCAACACAGCTAAAATAAAGAGTAGCAAAAGACAGCGTCATCATGCTCAGACTACAGGTAACAATCCTGTTTAACCCAAGTAATAAGAAAAAGTCCATTGACAGAACCAAATAATGGTGACAAGGTGCCTTTACAGTACCTTATTTACACAATACATTCCTGCATGCCATGCTTCACACAGTCATTACTTACAGACCCTTTTAAGAAGTTAAGACCAGACAATTCATTAATCAAAAAACCATCAGGCTTGCAACCTGCAAAGTGGAATGAGGGCTTCAAAATTATTGAAAGTACACCTGGACTATAACAACAGTGAGAGAACACATCATTGAGCATCCCATTCAAAAAAAAATTTAAAAGGCATCAGGAAGAATGTATCTTAGAATGCACTCTGTGATTTTCATGGAGGCAACCAGAGCAAAAAGAAATACACAGCTACTCTGCTCTAGACACACACCTGAGAAGGAACCATAACGTGGGGTCATGGTTTCCATCTCAGTCTTCTAACTCTGCTTCAAGTCAATATCAGTAATTGCCCTTGGTTTTGGCCAGCTACATCAGTTGCCACAGAAGCAATGAGATAACCTATGTTCTTCTATCCCCTTTTTCTCCTTGCTCCACAAAAGGCTGGGAAGGAAGGTACAGAGGTAATTTAGTGTTTGCTCCCTACACATTCTCCACTAGTGATACAGAACACAAAAGCAAAGAGAGAATCCTGTTTTCGTAAATACAGTGGCTTTTGGCAAGCTGCAATTCTGCTCTTTTGAATTCCTCCTATTTCCTGCCCATGCCCACATCTCCCACCCAGTTCATTTCTGGCTCCAAATAATGCTCCTGCATGCCCAAAGCAATGGAGGCAGTACATGTTCATGTGCACACATGTCCATAGGCCCATAATTCTGTCTGCAGAATTGTTCAATACAGAGATTACAGAATAGAAAGCAACGTATTCCCTAGTTTTTCCTCTGCAAACTTAGAATTAACAGCAGTCTTATTTTCCCTAGGTATGTATGAGCACAGCCAGCCACAGTGTGCTGCAAATCAGTTGTCAGCAAATAGTTTGACAGATCATAGAAACTCTTTCCTCACACATCCAAATGAAATCCTTAAATCTGCATATGATACATATGATTTTGAGGATCTAATTCCCAGTTCCTTTGACAAAACTCTTATTCCTTCTGGCCTAGATAATGAGCTTCCAGAGAATGATGACATTCATACTGAAGCCAATGAGAATTCAGCTTTTAAATGTAAAATAAACCTACAAGGTCCTTGAGTCTCGGATGCAGCAGAATTCTAAATTTATGCAACCCTGTTTGTCTGTGACTAGGGAAGAGCCACAATCAAAATCCACCACATAGACTTGTAGGTGGGGGATCAGTATTGACATCTCCTAGAGCAATTACTTAATTGCATATAAACTCAATAAGCCCACATAACAGCTACAACTACACTGCAACCAAGAATTAAGAGAAAATACTGTAGTACAGGTATGATGTATCTGAAAGACTGCCTGTCACAATAAGCTATATTAGCTGTGAAGAACTCCAAAGCAACAGAGATTTCAATTTGGACTAATTGTCCAAATAGGTTACCAGGCACACTGAAGGCTCTGCTGCTCCACTTTCATCTTATACTTCACAGACAGTGAGGATGTGGCTCTGGGTAGACTGGTCTAGTGGTTGGCAACCCTGCCTGTGGCAGGGGGGTTGAAACTAGATGATCATTATAGTCCTTTCCAACCCAGGATATTCTATGACTCTATGAATCTATGATTTTGTAGTACTTTTGGTGTTTGGAACAAGGTGATCTTTAACATTCCTTCCAACCTAAGCCATTCTAACTTTCCCATAGCTGGGTGGCCATTCCCCAAGTTCAAAACCACCGTCCTCAGCATCCACCATTATCAAGTTTTTAAGCAACTAAAAATGGCAGACAACTAAAAATGCAATCCATGCAGAGCTAATCCTGCTATCAGTACTAATCTTGCTTTTCAGTATAACTGGAGCCAGCCCTGGCATTAATCAGTCAAATCTGTTACGGAAGGAGAGCTGAGATGCAAAAAATATTGCCGAGTTATGCCAATTACTGTAAAATTTTGGCAATATTTTTTCATTACTTACATAATGAATCAATTGCTTCGGAAGCTACACTAAACCCTCTTCAGAAAAATTATTTTTAAAATACTTCACAAAGCTAAATAACCACAATGACTTATCAGAAAACTTACACACATGACTTCCTATATCATAACTTCCCCCTTAAAAATGACCTTCTTTTCTTTTAGGGTATATTTGGACCTCTTCTGCCCACGTTATCTCACACAGTAGCAGTCACTCAAGCAGTAAGTCAATATTTGCTTATACCATTTTAGAAACAGATTCTGTACAGACCTTCTAAAGTATGTTTTCTTAGGGAATTTCCTTTTTATAGCACAGAAGCTGAAAACGGAGAAAAAAACACACACATACACAAAACAAAAAAAAGCAAAAGAAGTTTCTAAACAGAATAAGGACCTGACACATCAACCTAACTTCATGCACTAAGAGGTCAGAAGGAGAAAACTATAAAACAAATAATCTACATATTTTAAAAGATAACCTAGTGGAGGGATACAGTGGCCCCAGCTTATGTGGTATCAGGTGCTCTGTGAGCAACTGAGAGAGAAGGAGTTGCTGGAAGGGTGAAGCCTCTCTCGCCTTGCAGCAAGCAAATAAAGGATTTCCCACATCACTTGCTATTCCTGTCCCTCTTAATCGCAGCTGCTTGGTTTCTGTGTCTGATGAAAAGGTAGAAACATTACAGACCATTTTTAAGAAAGCTACCAAAGAACTGGTGTTTAGCATTGGAATTTTGCAAAGAAAATTATCAACATCTATTCATGCCTAGAAGGAGGAAAAGCCTGGGTCTTGGGACTTCCCTCTGTAAAATATAATGGAGAGCTCACCACTAAGAAAGAGAACAATTTCTAGTGACAGAAAACGAGCATCAGGCAGGTCCAAAAAAGACCATTAATGTATTAGAAAACCTGATAATTTCCCACACTGCGTTTTTAGTACAGACTCTGACAAATACCCACAGGAAACAGGAAGGAGATCTGTAGAGATCCATCTGTGAAATGTGCTGCCACAGTGATCACTGTAGTGATATACTCAGTTTTCAGAAAAGCAAAATTGCTTCAAATCTTCACATTTCTCCACAACTGTATCAAATCACATCAAAAACTCTACAACAATCAGGATGACTTTAAAGGCTTAAGAGCATTCTGTTGTAAATGTGACGGCTCACAACTGCTTTGCAGATCATGCTATGGGTACCCTGGGTTTTCACTTTGGAAAGCATTTCACACGCTTATTTCCCAGACGTGAGAAATTAAGATTAATAAATTAATGCTGAATTAATGTTATTCTAAGAAATTAAGCCAAAAAACTTAGAACAATAAGTCACTTTTTTCTTTTTTAGAATGAAAGGAATATCAGCTTAAGGTTTGATCCACAGCGCTTCTTTTGCTTGCTCCTTTTCTCTTGAATATATCACAGAGAAAGACTATGACTTCATTGGCTTCTGATCATGAGTTGGGAATACAATCCTTCCCCTCCCCACAACAGGAACTCTTGCCAAAAGGAACTGCAAGCAACCATCCTCATCCAGGATAGCATCCAGGATAACTACCTGGATAACTACAAAGTTAATGAGAGAAAATACACAAAAGAGGCACTCCTGTCTGTGAAAAAAGCCTGTAAAAGCTCTTTCTCAAGGGAGAGCTGGCAAACATTTCCAGCCAGGTCCATAAAATAGAACCAAACGAGTCCATTATGTGGCCTTCTCAGAGGTGGATCTGAATTTTCCACAGTGGGCACTTAGGCCACAGCTGACTGAATGAAGAAAGGAGTTCTAGCCTCCTGGTACAGATCTCAAGTCTACAGCAAAGAGCTCTCCTATGTATTTTTCCTCTTACCAATATGCAGTATCCCACTAATATTTACCCAGAAAATATCCATCAGACCATCAAACCCAATATCAGTCACAGAAGCCACTCTTATGTTGAGAGAGGATATGTACATGCATATTTTCAAGAGTCATCCTCTGCTGACTTTTTCACAAAATTTTGTCTAGAATTTGAGTTTAAATAGACTGTAAGGGCTCTTAGAAAAAAAAAAAAATGAAAGAAAAAAAAAACACCTTCTCACATAAACCAGCATATAATAGATTGTCTATACAAAATGTTCCAATGCAGCTAAGCAGAGGCTTGGATGAATGCAGCAACATTTCAGATTCCTGACCATATAATTTGATGCTAACAGTTGAAAGCACCATTTTAATTTTTTATTTTTCTGAACACTTCATGCCAGTAGCAAGGAAATCATGTATCTTTTGGGAATATTCTGCCTTCTCCCTCTTACACATTCAGTATTTCCACGTACATTGTCACCTTCGCTCCTTAGTTTCCAGAATGGCTGTATATAAAACCAGGATCCTTCATTCCCTGCAGCATCCAAAGACACTCGCATAGCATTCTTCTCTAGCAGAGCTGGTAATCTCTTATTGACTGTGAGGTACTTATTACTTTTTATGTGCAGTAGCTGTAAACAAATAACAAGTATAAAAATTAGTATAGATTTTGCATTTTCTTGCTCAAAGATAAGGCATTGGATTTCACACTGCAATGATTTTTCGTAACATACAGAAGCAAAGACAAAATAAAACTATAAGAGAGTTACCAAAGTAAGTATACTGCAGGTTAGGAAAACAAATGCTATATATCAAATTGAGATAATTACATCCATCACCATCGTTTTTACAGCACATATTACACAGACAGGGCAAGGGTCAATAATAGTGTTATCTTCAGGAACTTCATCCATTAAGGGAAGTTGTACTGCACTTCAGAACATAACTTCTGTCTCATAAATATGTCATAATGTACAAATGACTTCAGTGATTTAAACAGAACTGCAAAGCACCTCTAAAGTATGATTTTGAAATGAATCTTGAACATATAACATCTGTATTGACATTCGGATTCCAGACTGCAACAACAAAAGATGTATATAATGGTACATTATTTAAACAGATATAAAGTACTTCTGGTCTTTAAATGAGATAGAAAAGCATGTTATTGTAAACTTTATCAAGTTCTGTTTACCTGACCATTGATGACAACCCATATTACAGTGCTTAGTTTCATTTTCACCATAACCTTGAAATGAAACAACTCTTTCAGCTCTGAGAGAAGGTGGATGTATTTTAATAAGTTTACCTGTATGACATTACTGTATTTTACTATTTCGCCCAATAGCTTTCTGTTCTCGCTTTCATTCTGCTTTTGTTCCAGTTCTGCTGCATGCTGCAAAAGAATGATTGTTTGTTTAAATTTTTGAATTTAATATCTGGATTCGGCTTCCAGAACAGATATTGCAACAAAGAATTGGTGCCACATTAAAATTGCTTCCATTTCTGCATTGAAAAAATTAGCATGTCTTTTCCTGCAGTATGATTTTCTGAACAATAATCATCTGAAATAATTCAGATTTTTATTACCTAGAATAGAAACTCATTCACAATTCATGGATCACACCTGAAATTAATGCTAACACAGCCTAGCACACTATTTTAAAATTTTTCAAACAAGGAAGATAACTCCATGTGCTTTATTTCATCCCAGAGGAGAAAAAAGAAGGGCCTATGGCTACTTTCTTCTGGTCACCATTCTTTTTGCTCATCTCTTAATTACATACATTACTTTATGTATAATAAAACAACACTACTTGGTCACATACTGGAAGACTAAGGGTCAAACACAGCCACAGAACAAATTCCAGCTTCTTGCTCTAATTGCTACACAGCAAGCTCTAGCCACATATCTTGTGTCCTCACTGCTGTTTTTAACAGGAAGCACTGACAGCCTTTCTACTGGACATTAAACTGTAGCCACGGTGTTTGACAACACTGCATTTCACTTAATCTTATGCATCCAATTAAAACATCAGGCCAGGTCTTTTTCAGGGACATTCAATTTCTCCAAATTGCAACTCTGAGGAAATTCTAGATTAAAGCATGCAAAGCACCTCTTTGTCCATCTCTCTGCACAGCTCCTGGAAAGGAGTTCCAAAACAGTCAACATTTTAAATCAAGGTTCACTCTTGATTCTATTAACTTTGTACTTGTACTTTATAAGCAAGTACTGCTTTCAGAAGTTTGATAGCAGGAAGGCGTAACCACAGCCTAAAGCAAGATGAAAAATGGGGTGAGGGCAATAAATGCCAGTCAGGAAATAGAAGAGCTAAGAAATTAGCATATAGGGTTGGGTCAAATTGCGCAGAGAGGTTGTGGATGCTCCCTCTCTGGAAGTGTTCAAGGCCAAGCTGGAAAGAGCTTTGAGCAAACTGGTCTACAGGGAGGTATCCCAGGGGGGTTGGAACTAAATGATCTTAAAGGTCCCTTCCAACCCAAACCATTCTATAATTCTAAGGTTGCTATAGTGGCATAATACCTATCATGATGGTTCACAAGGGATTTGTTATTGTTCTTTTTCTTTTCATTGTTACACTACAGCCTGCAGATTGAGATAAGATTGCAAATATAGATGCCTCTTACTTGAAGTTTCTTCAGCAGTGCTGCTTCTGTATGGTTTCCTTGTTTGGCTTGTTTGGCTTTCCAGTACTGCTTCTGGGCTGAATATCGGTTCATAGGACACACCTTGAAAAGGCAGTCTGTAGAAGAATGAAAGAAATACTCACAAGTTATGTTGAAAGACATTTCCTTCATTTGTAACTGCGCTTTGGATAATTTTCTTTTACAGAAATGGCCTGGATATGACAATGTTCAAGCACAGTCTGAGAACAGTTTGATGGTAATGTTACCATAAACAGTGTGGCAGAATATCTGAGTCAACGACTCCCATTCTGAGAAACCTCTCTGTAACTTCTGTGTGGCTGGGATCTTGCCATATGCTGGACACCCTCCTGCTCTGTTAGTACTCTTTGCTGCAGCACAACTTTACAGATTTATTGTCTGAAGGCATGTGGCTTTCGAAACCTTGAAAAAGCTGTCTCGCTTCCTGTATGTCATACATCTTGCTACTCTGCTCCTTCTGGCATAGCTAACACGATGGATTACACTAACATCCAGCCACAAGTTATCACATAGGCTAACACAGCATACAGTTCTGCGTGTGCCTTCTCTAAGTTTGATTTAAAAAAAAACTAGCAGCAAAAACAGTGTCACAGAAAGTAAACTCCACCTTCACCTCCCCAGCAGGCAGCTGACCATAGCTGAGCGTCAGCAGCTCCTGGCTGCCTCACCGAAGCAGTGTCCCTTGCAAGGCTTTGACTGCTCTTCAACAAACAGCCTTGCTGCAGCCCTGCTATCACATATGAGAGTAGATGTTTTCACTGCCAGTGCAGGGCATGGGCCTGCAGATCCTCTTCTGCCAGCCTGCTCCCTGGATGCCTCTGCTGTGTGGGCCGTCACCATGCTCCTCTATACTCACTGCAGGCACTTTTTGCTTCATTTCCTGTCACAATTCTCATATTCAATGACAAAATAAGTAAGATGGCTGAAGAACACATCCCCATGCTAGCAGCCAGTGCAACACAATAATAAGAATGCACTGTCACAAACAATAATGCAGTCCCACAGCTTTTGGGTCAATGAGGTCCTAACACAGCCTACAGTCTTTAATGATGTTCTCCATCACACTACCAAACAAAACAGAATGTATATAATTTAAAAAAAAATGGGGGCACAGGGACCCCATGGATGCTGGCCCTTGATCCTGGCCTGGCTGTTGCCATGGTAGGCCCATCCCTCCTCTCATGCATGGCCTCCATTTACAGGCCCTGCAGCTCCATCTGAGCTCATGAGAAGAGAGCTGGGGCTGAGGCAGTATGGACAGAAGTAATTGCTGTCCCCACATACTCTGCCATCCAAGAGACTGGGCAAAAAGAGAGCCAAGGAGTGCTTCTTAAAGTGTCTATTCAACTGTTATTTGGCAACAAGCTGTATCTCATGAAATTCGCTAACTCGGGACTCTCAGGATACTGGGGTTCATGACAGCCCTATAGTTTGGAAATTGAGGCTTGAGAAGCTCCAGCTGAAATTATTAATCCAAATCTGACTTCTTTTAAAGTGATAAAAGATACATAGCCTTGCATGGCCCTGATCAGCTTCTGCTCTAAAAACTAGACTTGAAATACATTATCCTTAGCAAATATTGTTAATTTTCATTTCATTCCAGAGGAAGGGAGGGGAAACTATTAAATAGCACTCAGGATGAGACCAACAAGAACATACAGGTTTGGACATGCATTATAATGTGAAACTCTTCACTGACACAAATTGTGATTTACGGATGTCAAAGATGCTAAATTATCAGCCCTCTGCATTTAACTGTCACAGACTGTCAAGCACTCTCTGAAGACTAACCCACTAGCTAGGGCCAGGTCACAGGGGAAACACTGGATGAATGTGTAAGGAAATCTTGTGTTAAGACTGGCCAAGTCTTTCCTAAGTACAAAGAATGAACTCCCATTACTTAACAAAATAAAACAGGCAGCATTCACAGGTATAATCAGGCTCAGTTAAGCATAGCTATCTAACACTGTGCCAAAAAGATTAGTAAGACTGTGCATCTGCATCCCCCAGAGCTGTTTGTTACAGCACTGGCTCTCAAGCCACAGACTAAGCTGCAATGTTTTCAGTTCTTCAAAATTGCCATTTGGCCTCTCACATATTGGCCAAAACATCAGGTATTGCACGTTGTAACACTACAACTTCAAATGCATTGCCTCCTCCCTCCATAGCAATAATGGGTCTTCCTCCAATATTTGTAGGAGGGAAACCTGTCCACAGAAAGGCCATCAGCAGCCAAACTTTTCTCGACACTTACCCACAGCTCCAACTGATCTGCTCCCTAATCATAGCCCTGAGCTGCTTGCTTTTCCTAGGAGAAAGTTTCCAAGGCAAATCCTGCCACTTTGCAGAGATGTTTGCTTTCATTTCAGTGGGGAACATTTACAATGAGAGCTATACTATCCAGCCTGGAGTATGACATAACTCTCTGGATAACTTTCACAATACTATGATCAGACACAAAGAAAAAAAAACTACAAAAAAATTCCATATTATTAAATCTTACTGTACTTTGAAGGAGATTTTAGTTCGAATATAGGAATTTCAGCTCACAGGACAAAAAGTTACCTAGTATTTTCTGTTAATCTATAATTAACGTGTCATCTCAGAACATGTGAAATGCACACTTGTCTCAAGTAACAATACCTGCTTTTTATAGGTATAGGTTTTATATTTTTATAAATTTTATTTATTTATTTTTATTTTTATATAGGTTTTATATTTTTATATTTTTTCATTGCTGGTACTCCCCACACATCCTGCAACTTTAGTAAACAAACAGCAGCTTCCCATCTTCACAGCCCAGTGCTACCCCACTGCATTGCACAGAAATGCAAGATGGTACATGAACATACCATCATTATTGCAGCTATATGCCTCCCAAAGACAGTTTATTTTTCCCAGTGATACTTCTTAAAGATATGAAAACACAAAACAGGTGCTACAGAGCTAATCTGCCTCAGCCACACAGCTAAATCTGCAGCCATTGCTGCTCAACGTAGCTGTCCAGAGATCCAACCTACTGCTTAGAAGTTGAACTTCCAATAACTTTGTTACAATCTGTATTATAGGAATTACATTTTCCTCAATTCAGAAACAAAAAAAACTGATACTCTTTGTTCCAAGACAAGCTTTTGCCTTTTTTTTCCTTCCTCTCTTTAAGACTCCAGATACATTAAAACCAGTTCATCTGGTTTTATTTTTTCCTGATCTTTTGTAGTTACTTTTACAAGAGTGATAGTAGAATGCTGTATTCAAGCTTTGTGGTCCTAGACAACAGGGAAAAAACAAGAAGTGCAACAATTCCCGCCCTCAAGAAGCTATAGTTTAAATGAACAGGAAAAAAGAAAAACTGAGACAGAAAAGATTACAAAGCAACTTTCCAGTGCATACAGTAGATCCAAAGCTTTGCCCTCCTGGAAGTCAGTCCAGTAACCCATTCACAAAACAGACAGACCTCTGACATCTTCATGTGCCCACGTGTCTAAGCCTGCAAAAATGCACAAACTCTCTTTCCATATTACTGTTTTGAATAAGGCAATAGTGGGTAGAACAAACACATAACGCATACAGCACACCCTCTGACCAAAAAGCAACTACACTCAGGAAGTCTGCAAAGGAAAATAACTCTTATCGTGTCTCTTAAATATTTATTGATATTGTGCAAAGATGTCTTAGAACAAAATTTGTCATTGTTTTTTTCTTCCTCCCTCCTTTTTTTTTTTTTTTTTTTTTTTTTTTTTTTTCCTTTTAAGTGCCAGAAATCCTGCTTTTATCCATCATGGATGACCTCAGTAATTTGGAGAACTAGAGAAATTAACTTATACCTTTAGCACATTAATTTCACTTAGGACATTTCAGTATTAGGACAAGAAGCACCTGGCTTCATCAGTCCCTTAAATTTAACCACAAAACAGTAAATGTTTCTTTTTTTCAGCATACATCAGGAAACACGTGTGGGACTAATTCTGCCCTCTTTTACAGTGATGCAAATCAAGATGCACACACTGATGAACAAAGAGCAACTCCAGGCTCACTACAGGATGACTGAAGGGGAAACCTGAAGTACAGTTTCTTTATATGGACACAAAATGAAAAGGAACAACAGCTTTCCTTAGTTTAACAATATTCTGTTTTGTAGGATGTTCTAAAACAACTAGAATAGCTACCACCCACTCAAAAAAAAAAAAAAAAAAAGGAAAGTAAACACGTAACAAAAATGAAACTGCTATTTTGAGACATCTCTTTACTCCTCTGGTTTTCAGTTCAAGCCAACAGCTCAGTACCTACATTTGATCTCTGAGTGAACTCTGTAGGAAGGGTACAAGTAGTTAGAAAATATAACTTAAAAAAAAAAAAAAAGGAGGGCAGGGAAAGGAGGCTGAATTGTTAAAATATTACCCAAAAAAGAGCAAACATACTCCTCTAATGTTCATTTTCAAAGTCAGGCTCTGGAATCTAAATATCCTGTTAGAAACATGCCTTTCTCAGACTCCTTTGACTTGCAGGTCATGCTCTAACCTCACATCAACGCCAGTTTCAGCTGTGAGTGATAAAAACAGTGTAAACCATGCAGACAGAAGTTTCTGTTACTAAAGAGGCCCTGCTCTTCCTGCTATTAGGCACTATTTTTAGTTGTGTATGTCTAATCATTCAACTAATCACTCATGCCCAAATCATCTTTTCATGTCAAGAACCTACTTAAAGTATTTCTTGTTTGTTTACAAATTTTGAGATTCTAATTGAATCCCCTTCCTGGGAGATTTTTAGGGAGAAAAACATGTGTTTCTCTTACATGTCTTAGTTATATGGATGACTTTTAGCAGCTCTTTTGCCTGAGTGCTTTTGAGCAGAACTAATAAATTTAACAAACTGTGGCAGAGCTGCGCTTTTGGTTTCCCTCATAACACAATGAGCTAAGTGCCACAGCGTTCAAAGTTCTCAGAAAAATTTTGGCCTAGCCATGTTTCATAGGTAATCATTAAGATACAGCTCCGACACAGAATCACAGAATCATAGGATCAGAGTCGTTTGAGTTGGAAAGGACCTTTTTAAAGGTCATCTAGTCCAACTCCTCAGCAACGAACAGGGGGACATGCTCAAACAGGCTGCACAGTCCCTGATCCAGCCTGACCTTGAAAGACTCCAGGGACTGGGCTTCCACCACCTCTCTGAGAAACGTGTTCCAGTGCCTCACCACCCTTGCTCAAAAAAACTTCTTATAGCCAAACTAAATCTCCTCTCTTTTAGTTTGAAACCTTGTCCCCTTTTCCTATCACAACAGTCCCTGCTAATGAGTCTGTCCCCTTCTTTCTTATATTCCCCCTCGCTGAGAAGATGTTCTCAGGTCTCCTCTGAGCCTTCTGTTCTCCAAGCTGAATAGCCTCAGGTCTCTAAACCTGTCCTCATAGGAAACATGTTCCATCCCCTGCATCATTTTTGTAGCCCTCCTCTGGACACATTCCAAGAGGTCCATATCCCTCCTGTACTGAGGACTCCACACCTGGATGCAGTACTCCATGTAAAGTCTCTCCAGCGCACAGTAGAGGGGCAGGATCACCTTCCTCACCGTGCTGGCCTTGCTTCTCAGGATATGGTTGGCTTTCAGGAATGCAAGGGCACAGTGCTAGCTCATGTCAAGGTTTCCGTCCACCAAATCCCCAAGTCCTTTTCAGCAGGGCTGTGCTCCATCCTTACCTCCTCCAGTTTGCACTGACAGTAGTATTGCCATGACATAGATGCAAGGCCTTGTATTTGAATTTATTGAACCTCAAGAGGTTCACCTGAGCCAACTGCTGAAGCCTGTCTATGTGTCTCTGAATGGCATCCCATCCCTTGAGTACGTCAACTGCACCACACAGCTTGGTGTCATCTACAAACTTGCTGAGGGTGTAGTCAATCCCACTGTCAATGAAGATGTTAAAGTGCACTGGTCCTGTTACTGACTGGGTCACACCACATACTCTTGGGTCATACTAGGTCATACTCTTGGGAGGTCTGTATATGCTCATCACATGCTGCCATCTCAGGGCTCCTATCCAATCTAGGCTGTTGCAGATATGTCAGCCTCATTGCTGAGTGTCATCTATCTCAAGAAAGCTTGGGTAGAGCAAAAGTCTTGAGGTGCAGCCCTTGGTACCAGGCACAAAATTCTAATTAGGCACCAAGTTTCTACTGTGTTCTAAGCAAAACTCAAGTTCATTAGGATTTGACCTACAGAACAAAGGAGAAGGCAACCAACTATGGTTTTATCTTTGCTGCAGCCCTTCTCATGACCACCACTTGTCATGCATGAAAACGCTACTAAATGCTTGATGAGGCCTCTAAAAATATACCCATGATGTTACAGCATGGTGGGTTGCATCTATTAAGGCAATAAAACTTACTTTTGCACTAATTTAGCTACTCCTGATGGCACTGCAGTTCATCCAGATTCGCATACTATCACAATGCCAACAATAGCTCAAAACTGTCAAGTGTGGGCATGTCCTATGGTGGAAAAAGATAAGAAGTGACTTGAGAGGCTGCTGGAGACAAAGAGAGTTAAGAGCCACAAAGAGAGTTAAGAGCCGCAAAGAAGCAGCTAGTAACAAGATTTGGAGCAGGGAGCAAAAGGGAAGAGGGAAGTCCTGAGAAGTGGAAAGCTGAGTTAGAAGAAATGAAAGCTTGGATGCTGGGGAGAAGAAAGAATATGGAAAGCTAGAGAGAAGGAAATGTGTTACAAAAGCAACAGAAAGAGGATGCCCCAGGAACAGAGCCAAAACTGTTTACAACTAACAGAAAACATTCTCCTGAAAGAAGCTGGGATGGAACTCAGGAGAACAGTCTTTGCATTCCCATAACATCAAAAAACAGCTGTAGGTTTTCTCTATGTCTCATCCCATTCTGATGTCTGACTTACATACATACATGTGTACTATTATCACTATTAGAGGTGTGCCATTAGTGCTGTGAACTCAAAAACCCTGCACTCTGGATCAAAGTGCCCAGACGTTTTTGACGTTGAAATCAAGTGTTTTGGAAAAACTCAACACAGAATGCTATCATCTTTTTCTTTCTTTGTCCTTTCAAGCAAGGAAACAGAACTAAAGAACTCTACTGACGTTATAAAATCAAGTACTCTGTTAGACAATAAAGAATTTAAGGTTGTCCTTTCAGCCTCTATTCATCTGTTCGATTCTAAGCATTTCAAGACATTCTGCAATTGCACTGTCACATGCAAATCTTTTTCAATGATTTCTGTCTCATCTAGAAACCTGTGTATGCTTTGCTTTGGAATAAACCAAGGTGGTGAAGCAGAACTACTCTCCACAGAATCCCCATCTGAAATTTGTGCAGGATTCAAGCTGTGAATTAAATACAGTAAGATGAAATCACAGCTAGGTAGCTTGAAAGTCACAAAAATCACACTGGAGAACTAGATGCCATCCACGTTTCTGCTGTAAAGTTATTCCATGATAGTGTATGAGTGACTGAAATGTACTTAGAAACCATTAGAAATACATGTTCTCATTTCTTCAATTTCCAGTTTCCAAGATGTGCAGATGTGCTGAATCTCACAGCTGGAACCAGAACTAGCTGGTGACATTTCCTGAATATATGATGGAAACTAAACCTTGAATACTCTGGAAAAGAAGAGCTTCAGTATCTCAATATTTTACATGCAACATTTTTGCAACAATAGCACATACATCTACAGTATAATAAATATTAGAAATGAAGTAAGGTTAAACATCTCTGTGCAACTTCTTGAAATAGACACAATCAGCAATGGTCTGGGACATTATGTTTATTTCACTTGCTGTAAACCAGGCAAATCAAAATTGTCCTTGTGACAGGTGTGAATCAAAGTCTATTTAAGCCAACAGAGGTCTGGATCAGGCTAGTAAGGCTCCATTTTGGTGCAGCTAGATCTTATCACTTAAATTAAGAACCAACAAGACCCTGAAAGGTTGTATTTCCTTCCCTAAACATAAACACAACTTCTAATACCACAGGAGTATTTTCGGCATTCAAGAAGTAGAAACTGCATGTTGTCAGTACTTTGTTATTTTTTTCCACCAAGTAAAAAAGTGGAATAAATTATCTATCTGCATCTACAAGCTCATGTCTAAAAAATCTGAGAAAAATGAGGCCCAATTAAAAGCAAGAGAAAAATAAAAAGCTGACAAAATATTTGGGGGTAATCCTTAAAATGCTGGGTTATCTTCTAAAAAAAAAAAAATACAACAGCAGCTCCAGTAGTTGTGAACCTCGTGAGGTTATTTCCCATTTACAGTAAGAGCAGAGCTGGAGCAAGGAGCTGCTCCCAAAGTGAGGGATTTGCACTCTGTGGACAAACTGAATAATCAGTTCTTCGACCACAAGGAGGTTGGTCCCTTTCCCTGTGTTCTCCATCTGCCCCTGATGACTTTGTTGACTTGGCATTTCTTTCACAAAATTGGCCTTTCACATTCCGGCTTGAAACTTCAGCAGCATGTTCATCAAGACTTCTGGGAAGTCATCTCTCTGGTAAGGTACATCTTTGCACAAAAAGTCAGAATGTGCATTAATTAAAAAAACAAAAAACAATTATTCCATTTACTGACCTCTGAACTTCTTGGGAGGGTTGGCAAGGTCACCTGCATCCGGCTGAACCACACATCTGTCATCCACTAACCTAAAAATACAAAAGTTATAACTCACTAAAACGTGTTTGAGAGCAGTATACATAAATTCCAACATAAAAGTCATACCTTCAGTACAGAAGTTTATACATTTTTCCAGTTTAAGCCAAAAAACGGAAGTCGTGTTTGTATCAGATACATGAAAGGATGTTTAAAGTCCAACAGGTTAGTTTGGCCCTAACCCTGTTTGCAGGTTCTTGCATCTGCTCTGAGGCCTTTCAAAGGCAGGCAGAGCAAGCAGCCATCACTTGGGTACACGACTATAAGTTAACCTGCTTACACAATCAGGACATACAGGGCAGTTCACCAATGGCTTGCTGTTTTCATAACACTGTTTTAGCTAGAATTTGAATACAGAATCTGACAGAGCACCTCAGATTTTAGTCTTCAATCATTCTTCTTCACAATTTCCAGGTTTTTTCCTCTAGAAGAGGCATGTAAAATCAAGAGTCAGCTCTGATCCAAACTCAGAGGAGCACATTTTCCTTTTCTAGAATGAATAAGTGTTTATGTAATCCACAGCTGAAAATATAAATAACAGACTAAACATATTTCTCGCAATATTTTAAAAGTTAAATAAACAACACAATTAAAAAAGATTATAAACCCCACTTAGAAGACAAAAAATTGCTTATCTTATCACAGAACTTCCTAAGCATAAATTTAGCTTCCCTTCAGGAAGTATCTTGTAAACAAACTGCCTGTTTCAAACAACTACTCATGGTTAAGGGCACAGAACGGCCCTGCCACTCAGCAACACAAGTCATAGCAGCATCTTCTGTGGGAAACTGACAGAATATGCACAGATTGGGTTCATCTCAGTTATGAAACAGAGGCATTCAACTTTCACTCAAGCTGAAGGGTTTATAACACAAGACCAATTCCCTAGCATAACCAAGGATTTTGTGCCTCTAACAGGACAGTAAAAATTTTGGAAGTGTCTGAAGTCAGCTCAGTTCTTGTGACATACTTGGTGACAAATCTGTGTATCTGTGAGGATAGAGAAGCAGGGGCATCTACAGGATCCATGGCCTCATGGAGGTGTGCTTTTTGCACAGGCTTATATCATGGGGCTTAGTAAAATCAAAGAAAGGCCTGGATTGCGGGATTTAGGAAGAGTCAGTCCTGCAAGATGCCTTTTGTCTATGATCTAATGTGCCAAAGCATTCTATAAGCAGCACCTAAAATCTGCAATCACAGGAAAAATAGGGCTGGACAAGACTTCTTCCACTCCTCTTGCCCTGAACAGTACTGCCTTCATCACTCCTGACAGACATCTGCATAATTTGCTTTACAAGTCTGCCAGTGGCAGACAGTGACTAAGACTGAAGCCAGAAGGCAGGAGAGCAGCCAGGCCTTGGCCTCTCCTTCCACTGCCCCACTCCTCACCCACTCCTACAGTCACCCCTCACATGGCAGCCACAGTCCTATTAGGCATTTTTGTGGCAGCGCTTGCTGGGAACTGCTATTGAAGCCTCTTGCAGGAGGTAACTTCGATATCTAGCTGCATTTAATGTTTCACCAATTTTGGCAACTTTTTGAAAAAAGGAGACTCAAAAAGAATAAATGTTAAAATGCCTCACCAAGGGATTTTAATGTCAAGTACTCACTGCTCTACAAAATCCCTCCAAGGCTGTCTGACTGAGCCCATGAGGCTTAACCCTTAAACACAGGCAGGATGGAGGACAGTATGTGGGAAGTGGCGTGACTCATGAGGCACATCCTGTGCTTCTTGGTGACATCTTGTGTACCCAGCGACAACTCTAAGTGGATAAAATGCAAAATGCTCCTAGGCACTCCACTGCTGTAACAAAAGCCACGTACAAAACATCATGTCCGTGTTGAGAAAAACAAACTCTCTGCCCTCCCCCTGAGATGGTGAGCTGCACCATTCAAATGTATGCTGAACTTCCTAGGCTGAGAACATAGATATTAAATACTTATTATTCATCACTTTCATTTAAGCATTGGCTAAAGGCACAAAGGACCATAAATGACTTCTGTGGTCATCGGGGACCAAAGACATCAGACAAGGCAGACAAAGGAGAATGGAATGGCTACTGCTCCCATCCTATGTGCAGGAAATGACAGCTCAGAGAGATTAATTGATGTGGGGCAGAACAGCCGCACAACAGAAATGAAACATCTCCTGAGCCATTGTTCAGCTTCTGGCACCTTTGTTTCTAACAAAGTATCTTGCAACACAGGACGAAAAACTAAACTATTGCTTTATCTGTACAGCAGTCTTTCTGCAATTTAATCACCAGTACTTTCATACAATGAATGTACTCCAGGAGTTTGCATTTTGAAGAGTTGGAGAGTACTCAGAGGCATTAGTTATGGTGCCATAGGGATAGTTGAGTTTTCTGCAGCTCACAAAGTGGGGGCTTCAGCCTCTGCTACAGACTGGGGCAAAAAAGGCCCCTCAAACACAGAGCACCTTCCCTGACTGCAGATCTTGATATCCTCAAATCCCACTTCTTAAAGAGGGGTAGAGAGCAGTTGAAGCCTGCTGGGTGGATGCACATAACAACCAGTAGTTAATGACCCACACAACAAGCAAACAATCCAAGGGGTGAAATCAAACAACAGGCTTGACCACAAAAGGTCCTGGATATCTGCAGCTTCCATCAGACCACAGCACAGCACCTTCTATCACTGCTCGTTATTTTGCATAGGAGGCTGGAGAGCGTAAATAAAGACTTTAGTGATAAAGGAAGAATTTACTACATTATACAAGCAAATGTGTTCACAACTTAAATAGTGATCTGAACTATTAAACAAATACTCAAGTCACAGTGCTATCAAAAAGCTTTGGTAGACTTTAAGGGGTTTATTTGTTTAATTCTTGATATGGACTACTGTTGTCACTTAGTACCTGTCAGATATAGCATGATATATTTCAGTTTTTCATGTTGGCCTCATATAAACAACAAACAAGTTCCTTACACATGTACAACATAATCTTTATTTGTTCAAGTTCTTCTTTGAACACAACAAATATCTGCTTTATGCACACCAAGAGACCGCTGCAGAGCAGTGGTAATTAAGTTGTACAGTAGCTCAGTGGTGCTGCAGATAAATCATCAGTGAAGTCACAGTGACAACTGTGGCAACAGACCTTTACGCACAGGCCTTTGTATTCAGTAATTGCAGAATTAAGGTCTAAAAGTAACAACGTTCATGGGACAGCTTGTCTTAGCTGCCCAACCACTCTCCCACTGAAGCTAGCAAAAGCTTTTCTGCTCAATTCAGAAGAAGTAAGGGCAGTTCCTCATTGTGCCACTCACAGGCACTGAAGTCAGTGAGACCTCACACTAGCATGTACAAAGTCACACTGAAAAAGAACTAAAGCTATCTAAATTGTGTCCAGGAGGTAAGGCCTGATTCTCAGTGGAGAAGCAGCAGCTTTCAGGCTGCTAGTATAAGCAGTATAAGCCCCTGCTAGTATAAGCCAAGGTAAGCACACCGTACAGTTTGAAGCAAAGCTCCAATCTGTATGCAGTTCTACAGACACCTTCCTCTCCCTTCACCTAGTGTGGTTAAATCTGCCCCATCTCTTCACATGTAAACCCAAACATGTCTATATGCATTCAATTTAACAATATCTAGCAGCAATGAACTCCACCTGTAAGATGGAGTTCATATTTACAAGCAGTTTTAAACATACCATCTGTCCTATTGGTGGTGTTTCAGCAATAAGAGGACAGGATCCTAATGCTGTTCATTACTTGCATTCAGAACTTGCCTAAAACCAGCTTCAAACTTCTCATATAGCTTCTATGATTACTCCACTCCCTGGGCACTGCTGGGAAACAGGAAAACAACGACTTGGGGTAATTCCCACTGTTTGAAACGGCAGCAACCTTTCTAGGGACTTTCACTGAAAGAAAAAAGCAGAACGTATGTGGACAACCAGTGGGTCTCAATGTGTATTCAGGGAAAGAAGAGGAAGAATTCACTGATGGGAGGACTACAGGGAAGAGCTATAACTGATAAGGCAGGTATGTTGGCAGAAAATATTGATAGATAATGTTTATAGCATGGATGTTCAACCTGTTGAATTGCCTGAGCTGCAGAGTGAAGAGGAATTGTCTAGAGTTATTCCAAAATGAATGCCTCCTACTTATTTCCATGGAAACTACACCAGATACAAAAAGCACAAGACCACTATTTGATTGAGCAAATTCTCAGCTACAAAACACTCTTTTTCAACACAGTCACTGCCATTACCTATGCACTGTCATAAAAATCTGCATCAGCGGAGAAGACCCACTGTCACTGTTACCAGTGCTTCAATACACCACCTACTGCCTCCCTGTGCTCACAGCCACTGCTGGTCTCCATTAATGTTCAGCGAGCATCAATGGATGTCAATGGGCACCATTTCTTCCACAAGGAGAAACTGAATTACACCCTTTTGCTTCATGGACGCTTCTTGTCAGATTCCATTTTGTCAGACTGCCCCTCTGCTACCATATGTCACACAGCAACAAAATGCAATGGAATGCTGGTGGGAAAGCACAACCTCTATCATCATACTACCAACATCCACTTCTGACGTTGTGGGCCAACATCATGAAACAGGAGGCATTAATTTTGGAGACGCCCTTGTAAAATATAAAATACCATTAATATATAAGTAACTAAACATTTTGATTTTTAATATTCTTCTTAAAACGTTAAAAAAAATAGAAGAGGAACAAAACCATACAACTGGGATGTGTGACCTTGTTTTTGTGAAACCAACGCATCAGGCTGGTTCAATGACAGTGGTTGCAATACTCAAGGTGATCCTCAGAAATTTTTGATGAAATTTCACTCTTCCTGTGCTTCATCCTTGACATGTACGTACTGCCAAAAAGTGGTGACATGAATAAGCCATAATCGTGAAGTAACGGTTACTTCTCTGGTAAGGTGGGGATTTTGAAAATCTGGTTAAGAGACATGATCAATTTTTTGAGATGCATGTCTGATTGCAACTCTATATGCT